GCCCAATGCACAAAATTTGTGCAAGAGAAGGCCTTCCTTCCCCCCAGCTGCCGGCACCAGCTTCCCTCTGGCACCCAGGACCCAGGCTTCCCTCCGGCCCCAGCTTCTTCCAGAATGACATCTGGTCTAATTAGCATATTACGCTTTTATTATTATAGAGGATTATATACATAATACACACATATTATGTATATGTAATACATATATAATATATATAATGTAAACTTGATGTATTTATTTATTTAAATTAGGGACTTATTTTTTTAATAGATTTTTATTGATTTCAGAGAGGAAGGGAGAGGGAGATAGAAACATCAATAATGAGAGAGAATCACTGATCCGCTGCCTGCTGAGCACCCACCAGCCTGCAACCTGGGTATGTGCCCTTGACCGGAATTGAGCCCAGGACCCTGCAGTCCACAGGCGGACGCTCTATCCACTGAGCCAAACTAGCTAGTGCTATATGTAAACTTGATTTATGATAACTGGCAGTATACAGTGTGAGAAAGGAACCTGGGACAACTGGTTATTGCTATGAAAAAAATAAAATTGGTTTCCTGCCTTACACCATACACAAAAATCAATTCCTGGTTAAAAAAAAAAGGTTTAAATATAAAAATCAAAACTATAGACCTTTCAGAAGAAATTATAGAAAAATACTTTATGACTTTAGGGTAGAAAAGGCTTTATTAGACAAGATCACAAAGCACTGACAATAAACAAAAGGATTACAAGATGAAAACAAAATTATGAAACAAGACACTTTTGAAGCTGAGTGATTGTACATACAGATTCATTACTGTATTCTGTCTACTGTCTTACATGACTTAAAAAAAGAGACACCATACAAGTGACAAAAACAGCCCACAAACTGAGCTACTTGCCACTTACATAACTAAAAAAGGCTTAGTATTCAAATATATGTGAAAAATATAAATAAGACAAATAATCCATGAAGAAAATAAAGATATTTCAGAACAAAGAGAACAAAATTTTAAAAGATTTTTAATTCCTCTAACAATAGGAAAGCAAAGTTGTAGTAAGATACTATTTCAGCATCCTAAAGTCACACAAAAATGAAAATTTCTGATGATATCAAGTGTTGGCAAGTATGTGGAGCAACAGGAACTCATATATTGCTGGTAGAAGTGTAAGCTGCCAGTAAGAATGGACAATGAATGCCTTTATAACTGGCATCGGACTGTAAAACTGAACAGCCCTATACAATACGTTCCAGGAATTCCATTCCTTGCACGAGAGCACCCATAACACATAAGAATGTGTAGCAACCAAACCTGGTGTTTCTAGAATTATCCAAATGCTCACTGAGGAGAATGGAAGAACATATGATATATTTTCACAGTTGAGCAACCTCTAACATCACTATGGATGAATCTCAAAATACACAGTTGAAAAAAGCAGCAAAATAAAATAAAAATGGTGTGAAGCCATTTCTATAAAGATAAAAAACATGCAAAGTTACACATCTTCATCCGGAAGCAGCACACAGGAAGTTGCTTGGCAATAGAAATATTATACTTCTTAAACTGGAGAATGGGTTTGTAAATGTTGGCTTTGCTTCATAACTTACACGTGTTGTATAATCTTTTGGTATCAAATGCTTCATAAGTTTTTAACACTAGTGAAAAAAGGTTGTTGTATGGACACAACAAAATGTTAGTGTTATTACCTTGGAGTTTGGATAACGTGGGACTTTCACTTTTTAGATTATTCATTCTGGACCATTTAAAATTTTTACTCTTTAACAAATAATATGCTTGGGGAGAAATGATTACAGAAAGGAAAACCAACTGCATAGGAACCTGGGACCCACGAGTATGAGGGGCAGTAATCCTGTTTTCAATGTACACAACACAATTTCCCCCAGATGCCCTAAGGTAAAACCATGCTTAGCACACTCTGTGGGTTAAGTCTGTAATATATTGAGAACATTTCCAACCCAAAGGGATTAAGAAGTATTGGTTTTTACTGAAAGTATCCATACTTTCTCTGTATTAACAATTCCTAGCTTCATCTAATTTTTGTTATGCTTATTTGCCTTTGGCCCACTTCTGCACTTTTCCAATGTTTTTCATAGTGTAAACTGCACAAATCCTTTGTGATGTAAACAAATAAATACACGAATGACTCCCATTCCCAAAGGGCTCACTTTTCCATTTGTGCCACAAGCATCAGAGTCTAGTGCGCTGGGCAAGTTCCCCAACACCCCACCAGGAACGTGTGCTGCCTGCCCTTCCCGGGCAGAGCGGCGGCCGAAGGAAGCAGGTGGCCGGTGGGAAGGGCCTGGGGCTCTTCCAGCTCCAGTCCCACCCTGGGGTCCCCCGCACGGCACCTGCCTAGGCCAAGGCGCGCGTGGCCGAGCGGAGTGACCGAGGAGCTCGGCGACCTCCTGCACCCGCAAACCCCTCGACACACGCTGCTTCCCCTGCGGGAGGCCTTCCTTCCGGCGCCGGGACCCCCGCCCGCGACCCTGGCTCCTGGGCCGGGTGCCTTACTTGCCTTTCTCCACGCTGTAGCCGGAGCGCGACCTAGAAACCCCGCGACCGCCATCTAAAATAATTTTAAATTCTCACTAAATTTTGAAAAAATATTGTTGTTTTTTATTAAAACATGATGATTTATATTAGAACCTAGTGGGGTTTTGTCTTTAAAAATAAATAATACATATTTTAATATTTCAGTTTTAATTTCTACTATGGTAAATATTAGGAAGCACGAACGACCCAAATTACTCTGAAGCCCGTGTGAATTCAACCCCCAAATCATGGCTGAAGTGGGATGAGGGAATCATTTCGTTTAATATCTAAATCTGAGGGACAAGGTCTCTTGGAAGATCTTTTATAGTATACGAAGACTGAGCATCTTTTACTCATTCCCTCAGTTCTTTTCTCTCTCTCCCTCTCCCTCTCTCTCTCTCTCTCTCTCTCTCTCTCTCTCTCTCTCCCTCTCACATTTACTTTTTAATCTATTGTTTAGTGAACTCCTAATTCGTCACTCATTGACCAGATGACCTGAAAGATGAGTTTTGAGTGACATGCAGAGCAAGGAAAAGCTTTCCATCTGTCCAGGCTGCTGTGAAAGGAGTCCTGCCAACTGGCCCCTTAAATTCCAACAGTTCCAATTTGTTGGTAGCATTTGTGGCAGATCAGGAGGCTTCTTGTAACCCGTGGAAGTCTTTTTAAATTTTTATTTATTTTATTTTAGAGAGAAAGGGAGAGAGAGAAACAGATGGCAGAGAGAAACATCATCCATGGGCTGCCTCCTGCGTGCTCCCTATTGGGGGTGGAGCCCGCAACCGGGAGAGGGGGTGGGTAGGGTTGGGGGGGGGTTGCCCTGACCAGG